GTTGGTTTTTGTTGGGGGGGGGGGGGTTCTGATAAATCCATTAAACTTCATATTAAAGCATTAATATAGTTGCCTTTTAATTTAAAAAAAAAAAAGAGTTCCTCTAAATAAAGAGTTCCAGGCTCATTTAATTAATTTCAGATATTTCAGTTCATTAGCTAAATGTAAATGGATACTAAATTCCTATTGGCAGATGCTTCATGAACTAGATCTAAATGCATTTTCACAAATTGCCAGCAGAGGGCAGGAAATGACCAATTCAACAGAATGAATGAACTAGATCAGCCTTTCAAGGAAGTTATATTAGTGCAGATCTTTCATCCATTTTAGTTAGCTTCTTCTTTCACTGGAATAATCAAATAGCTGAGAATGGTGGTTCTGATCTTTGGCTGCCTCCGGTTACATTCCCATTACAAAGTGACTTGAAATCCCATATAATGGCTCCAGGACAAGCAGACCAGTATAGGGGATTCTCCAGTATGGGGTGGTAGTGTAGCAATGGAAAATCTAGTATTGTTAACAGGGAGAATGGCTAGGGAAAAAAGGGGCACAGAAGTCCATGTCTGCTAACAGTCTGTTGGAGGAATTGCAACTGGTATAAATTTAGAAAAGCCTTCAGATTATGATCAGCATAGACAATGACAAGATCAGGGGGGCTCAAGGTGGCTTTCTAGGCTTTAGGCATGGGCTGCTGTGGGCACTCCTTTGCCTTTGTGTCCTATAACATGAGACTCTCAGAAACAGGTGCCTGCTACTGGTTAACAGAAAGCAGAAATGACCCAATGTCAAAACCACAAAAAAATCTCTTCAGTGACTGAAAATGTACTTCAGTTATTTAGTTCCTATTTAGGTGCTAGTGCATAACACTCTGCACCCCCCGCAAAACAACTACCCAAACCTCAACTGTTTGAACTGGGAAAGACTGGCCTGAAATGCGATGTTTACCTATTTACAGATATAACATCTACCTTCTTGCAAACAAAATAAACACAGTAGAAAAAAATCCTCATGCCCTAAATGATCTCAAAATGGCCAGCTGGCCCTAATAGCTTAGACCAGGGCTGTCCAGCTCCTAAGCCCATGGGGGGGTACATGCCCCAGCAGCTGCACCAGTGAAGGCCTCGTATTGCAAAGACAGGAAGCAGCAGCTGGAGGAGGAAGGGGAAGCCTAGAGATTCTGGCTGCTATTGCAGGAGGAGTGATAGAGGCAGCAGAGGCTGGGGAAGAGCCTGGGGGCTGCACATTTACTGCCAGTTGAGCAGCCTTGGCTTAGACTATTCCTTGTGTGAGCAGATTCAACAACCCATAAAAAATGGAGCCAGTTGCTCTGGATGGGCACCTGAAAAAACAGCTATACAAAATTTACACACACACACACACACGTTCTCTCTCTCTTGCCTCATATTTCTCTAATTTCAGTTTTCATATTCTACGTGTGCAAGCACACACCCCTAATTTTGTACTGGTAACAAAAAGGTTAATTAAATTTACTGTTGCCAAAGAGGATGAAGAAACCTTTTTTATTTTTTTTAAAGATTTGTTCTCCTCTTAAAAAGCATGCAAGAGGTCATTTTTCAGTGCTTAGCACCAAAAAAGGCTCAGTTCTTTCTCTTTCACAGTCTCACATTAATGCATGTTGCAGTTCCATAAAGCATGACACAGTCTGCTTACATATAAGGACAAGAGATGAAGTGCATTTCATGGTTGATTAATACAGAAAGTGTCCTCCCCTTGTTACCAGAAAAAGTGCATTTTCTCTCATGAGATACAGAAATTTACAAGTGAAAATGCACAGACAGTGCGCCCAGCTACCATTGAAGAAGACTATCATCCTCCAAAACTTCTGTCAACATGTAATACACCTGAAAGTCACCCATACCTCTGGTGATGCTGCTAATGAGATATCAATGAAGGACTTAAGCACGGCTAATCTAGAGCTGAGAGTAACTTCCTAGCATCAGACACTGTAAAAAGGCATGTTTCAAAGTATATATACAGAAAAGGAAATCAAAACCCTAATCCACTTCCCTAATCACTTTAATCTGATACCACCGAAAGTGGGAAGAACATATTGAATCCTCACAGAGGTTTCACCAGCTGCTGCCTTATTTGTATAAATACCACAACAGACTCCAAACATACACACACAAAAAACTACTCAGTCAACAAAGAACTCAGAATTTATGCTCTCTGAATACATTCCTGACAGGGCTTTTAATCCCCTGGAAAAAATATACAATAGATCTGTGACAAAAATACCCAGTAAAGGAGGAGAAAAAAAAGCTATACCACATTCCCTACGTGCATCTGAATGACTGATCTGCATACAGAGAACAGTAGTTGCGCACACAATTGCAGAAAATGTATGTGGTAATGATCAGGTGGCAATACAATTGGCTATAAAAGTGTGTGGTAATCACTGCATGTGTTATCACGGCATGTAGTTTTTTTTCAAGCTGACCATGGCATGTAGGAGAAGGTTAGGGTGCCAAAGGTTTTTACATGGCACTATGAACATATAAAAAAAATTAAAGCAGCTGGACAACTTAATGGAAGGTTAAATGTTTGGCATTTCCCAAAAGATGTTTCAACAATGCATAGTATTAAAAATTCTTGTGAGCTTTTCTTCCATATTAATTCAGATAAAACATGATATGGAAAGCCTGCTACTGATGCTTCTTAAATTTAAGAATCCATCAACACAGATTGCTGCTGTTTGAGATCAGAAGCCCATAGGGCCAGCCAGGAAAAACCCTTTGCTTAACACAATTAAAAAAAAAATACAAGTTCAATTGTTTTAAATTACAGATGAGAGAAAAAAATAGTGAAAAAAAATCTATGTTTTTCAAACGCAGTTTAGGTCCCGCCATGTAAAAAGATTTCAAGATGGCTACTTACAGATGTTAACCCCCTCCCCCCGCCCAAAATTAAGCTTTACTTTAAACTTGGTGTGCTCCCATGCTGAGCAAAGGGCATACCCAAAAGAGATATCACATTAATTGGACCTGGCTTGCCCTATGTCTATATAAATTGGACGCTTTAGTGGGGCTTTGGACTTTTATCCAACAGCTGACTGAATCGGACTTAACTAAAAGTGCCAAAAAGCTCCGGTGAAGCACCCAATCTATACAGACACTGCAGAGCCTGGTCAAACTAACATGCTGCCTTTTCTAGTAAAGCACTTTTCTTTTTTTGTTAATGTCTGTAAGTGGCCGATATGGCCAGTACTGGGGCAGAAGGACCTAGGGTTTAAAAGATACTTCTGCACACATGCAGCATCTTCTTTCTATCAAGTGATTGTTATCAAATCTGGATTCATAATATGCAAAACTGATTCCAGGCAGATTCACTAACTATTGTTGATACAATTCACAATATAAAACCGTAATTCCCCTTAGATGCAAACAAGTATTAAAAAAGTAAAGGGTAAAGTGTAATGCATTCTGTTTTGTGGAGCATACACGTACAGCAAATTCCATGAGGGGGAATAAACCTACACCCTACATGCACTCTTAATATTAATATTATTTTAATGTACATGGTTTGGTTTTTGAATGGGCTGAGTGAAACTTACAGGTGTTCTGAAATTAGGACATAAAAATGGTTCTCTTTGCTCAACCCACTGTGCCTCTGTACTACTGTACGGCATTTCCAGCAAATGACTAATCTTACCCAACACAGAGTATCCATTCTGTGAAACTGAGCACAACACCACAAAACCAAGTCTGAAACCCACGGGCTTTGTTCTTAATGCCCTGGCTTTTGTGCAATCAGACTCTTTTTGCTACATATATCTATGTTTTGGTGCTCTGTTATCAGAGCTCATTATATTCTTTTTCCAGCTTGCTATAGAAGCTCTTGTTCATCATCTTCAGACCCTGAGGGCCCTTGTCGCACCTCTTCATACCATTTATTGGTAAGGCTTTTCATCTGTATGCGTCCATGGTGCAGGTCCTAAGGCAAAAGAAAATAAGAGCAACTGTTATTTAGGTACAGAAGTGTATGTGCGTTATAGAACATTTACTTGGTGTATCTCCACAAAACACTAATTTCCACACCTCACCCTCTAATACATGCACAATTATGCCTCCTAATTGAAAATATTATACAATCCATCAGTGGTTACTTTCAACTATAATTATTTTGATGATGGATATTTTCCCCCCCTGTGTTCTATAGAAGGCTCAGTTCACTGGGACACAGCAGTCACAATACTGTTTGGGTGGCCTGACCCCACATCTTTTTTTCTACATGTGCTAGGGGGAAGTGGGAGCTTCAGTGATTCATTTTATTTCAAGAGTCCATGAGTGCCATTTTGTTGTCCAAGCATCCTAGATAGCTGGCCTCATCCTTCTGGATTCCAGGTATAAACTGAATGCGAGGTTTGGTTGGCCAACCCCCTGCTGCCAAATTCTGTAGAACAGCACAGGAAGTGCAAACTGAAATGAATGCCTTTTAGCAAAGGAACAGAGCAAGAAAATGCAAGTAGGTTCTACTGGGTCTGCATTTGACAGGTCTTTGATCATGGTAGCTATCTCTGAACAGGTATCATATTAGTCAGATTACTCTGCCCAAATCAAAATTTCCAAGCCTGCAGTACACATCTGTGATTGGTGTAGAATGGAATTCAGGAGAATGCTAAACCAATGCTACCACAAATGTTTCTTTTCCAAGAAAGCAGAACTCACCTCTTGTGTGAGCCGCCTAGTGAAAAAGGGATTCAAATACTTGGCATCAAGCCACATAAAGCCTTTGAGGTCCTGGCGCTTTATGTACTGGGCTTCATACTCTTCCTCTGTGAGTTCTGATAAATGTTCAGATTCAATGGTATTGCCCTAAAAGATCACAGAACAATCAGAAATCCTTAAATTCCTTTCTTCTTAGGAAAGAAAATATTAGAAAAATGCTGAAATAGTGTAGGTTGCTATGAATAAGCCATTTTGCCTAACTGTGTAACACTTGTAGAAACAATAAGATTCATCTAGACAATACATCTTCTAGGAACTGGACTAAGACCCTCAATGCCTTACAGAAATTAGTAAATAGCTTAGAAAAGAAGGCAACTTTTAGCTTTGACTGATTTGTAATGGAAGTGAGCTACTGATCTGAAGATGAAAGGCTCCACTTCCAATGATTAATTTTCATTTCATCCCCCACTAACGCTACAACTTTAGAGACCCAAATGTTCCTTATTTTACAGTGCAACAAGGGAAACCTCATATGCTAGCAATGTCAAATAACTTTAAAGACAAGTTTATCCAGAAACATTAACAGCTCACTGTATGAAGCTACAATACTTTGATACAATTAGCAGAGGTGATTATAATGTTAATTAGATAGTGGTGATGAAGCAGTGGGTTCTCAAACTGTCTAAATGACAAATGACATTGTAGCATGGGCCTCCTCAAAAAGTAAAACAGAAGTTACAGGTCAACTGATTCTGAGGAATGTAAAGGCCTTGACATTTTGTGCAGGACTGAATTATTCCTCACTGCAGCTAACTTACATGTATGTTGGCTGGAGCAGGGGAATGGAGACAAGTCTTCTGGGATACAGTTATTCTCTCTCTAATCGCTAATTGTCCCAAAGACAACGTGAAGTTTTAGGCTGCAATTACAGCTCACCTTTGGACAAAGTTCTGCAGTACTTCAGATTAGCCAAGATATTGTGTTAAAATAAGCTCTAGTTATATGGATGCCATCTCTACCATCTTTTCATAACTTTTGCTTTATTTTGAAGTATTTTTTAAAAACTTCCATCTGCCTCTTATGATTAATGTGCCCCTTGTCCTCCTGAAGAATGCGACTCACAATACGCTGGACAAGGTTCTTTGGGTAGCTGTGATATCTTTTATTAGTTATTTTCCATTTGTATACAATTCAGCCCATTCTCTATCTTCTGCCCTGTGTTTTTATGGGGATGGCTGTAATTTGGATCAATCAATTTAAAATTAGACGAGGTCAATCATAATGTCAAATCCCTGTGCATGAACAGAACTGATCACATAAATATTGGTTTAGTTATGCTTTTACAGGATTTGTAAATGATGATTTTTTATACTGTAGTGTATTATTTCATTTAATTTTTTCCAGTAGAAAATGTCACTGTATATTTACTATGTACTGACCCTTACTATGCAAATTAAAGGGAGAAACCAGATAATTCATTTTTAAACATGGCAAACATAAGAGAGGAACAAACCATCTTTTCAGTCTTGCTGAGGTTAATATCCTTCTTGTTCCTCCTTCGTGCTTTGGAGTCTTCAATATCAATCAGTCTGATCAGGGGCATAGTTCCTCCCCCCAACAACAAAATTGTGAATAACACAATGATGATTGTTGTGGTCCCAATGAGCTGTCGCTTTTCTATTGGTTCTAGGCCCAAATGAAGGCTCAGGGCATATGGAATTGCTCCACGTAAACCTGGCAAGAGTTTATATATCAAAGGAAAGGTCATTCATTAAACTCAGGATTTATTTTCAGCATTTTCTTCAATCATCACGGTGTTTTTAACACATTGGAAATCTCTTCTTCTAAACATACGTTTTAAGGCCATATAGGTCCTTACTCTGTGGCCATCACCCTGAGCACCTGATTGGCTTCCTAAACAACCGAGCCTTAAATAAATTAAATCTATCAGGCTCTGGATCCCCAAAACAGGGTACTGTAAAAGCAGCAGCTTTGCAGAATCATTCTGGCTGGACTATCTCCACATGGGCCTCCAAGATAAGGATAAGTTCTGCTGAACTTAGGTTTGAGAAGCACAAAAATGTTCACTTTAGTTTTGCTCCACCCACAGGACATGATCTGTTGCAGAGGAGCTAGTACAATGAAACACCATGCCATTTTCTTCAATCCTGCAAACCAGAGGTTAGCAACTGCAGGCCACCACTTGTGACTCATCTCCCACTGCGGACTGCACCCCTGCACCTCCCCAGTGTCTAGCAGATGCTGTGAAGGGAACAGAAAAAAAACAGGTGATAGGACTCTGGCGATGCCACCTCTGCTGCAGCAGAGACTAAACTGAAGATGGCAAGCCTAGGAGCTGCTGTGGGCTGGAGCTAGTCCATGGGCCATATGTTGCCACCCCCTAATGTATACTCTGCACTTAGACTTACCACTAAACCACATAATGAACATCATTTTAGGGGTGATTTTATGATCACGAAAGAAGTTGATCAGGTATGAAAGTGGAAAAATATTCACTGCTCTGCCAAGCAGGACAAGCACCTGTAAATAGCAAGGAAGTAATTTAATAAGTGAAAGGCTATTTACTGCATTATATCCATACCGTACAGAGCAACGGTTCTCAACCTTTCTGTACCAGGACCCATTTGTAAACATTGATGGCCAGTCCCAACCCAGTAAATAATTTAAGTACAAAACAGCCCTCTGGCCCTGCCAGTGCCCCTCACTCCCAACCCCGATTCCTGGGGGGTGGTGTAGGGTACGGGGGGCCTCAAGCAGCCCCTTGCAGGCTGGAACTCCACCAGCCTGCAATGGAAAACCCTCCATTTCCCATGTTTTTCTCCTTTAAAGAAGAATCCATTTTTTAAAGTTTGTTGATCCATTTTTAAAGTTTGTTTGTGACCTTTTCATATATTCTTGTGACCCACTTTTGGGTCACAACCCACAGGTTGAGAAATGCTGGTACAGAGCCCTCCAATGTACAACTGCCACACGAACAGTAAGGGGAGCATAGTACTCTCACTATATATTCTTCATAGCTAGACACATTGGTCATTCAATTTAAAGCACCACACAGTTTAGGTTAATGTAGAATTGAAATGCTTAAACACCGGGCCTATGCAGCCAAACCAGACTCGTTACTACACAAACTACAGACATAATTGAAGGCTGTGAGACAGTTTTACTAACGACAACTGAACTGAAAGCTGTGCGGGCATCCCAAGGAACCCAGGGATTAATTTAAGAAGAGGTCTGGTTCCTCCAATGGCAGCCCCAAAGCAGTCCATCTTCTCAAATCATTGCCACTGGTGGAACAACTCAGAGGCAAAAAGAAAATTCCTCAGGGCGTCAGAGGAAAAGACCAAAATCCCAGAGTATCTTTGGTAAAAGAACATACCAATATGTGTGGGTAGCTTTAAGAGACTAACGGCTGTTTTCTCTGTCTCAAAATTAATGCAAACAAGCATCAGGGCTCGTGGACAGAGGTGATATCTTTTATTAGACCGAATGAAGGCTGTGCCTTTTTCCTTTTTTGGCAGTCAGCCATAATTGCTACATTGCCTCAGGGCTGCAAGGGAAATTCCAGTGATAATGAAATTCCACTCAGTAGCCATCTGTTCGGGGGGAGAGGTAGGTATGCAAGGGTAATGTAGCGAGAGCAACCTCGCAGGTCCCACAGCAGACACCAACACCTCAAAATCTCTTGCAGCCGAACAAGGTTACTCTTGAACCCCTGGTTCAAATGCGGCAGCATTTGGTGCTACCGTCTAGATCAGCATGCCTAGGGAGAGATTCGTATTTCATTTTCTTCCCTCTGTGAAACGTGACTTATGTATTTGTAAATTAATATTATAATCCTAATGCTAAAAAGAACGTGTTAGCTTTCTGTGAAACAATTCAAAGTGCCATTAATTAAAAGCAACAGTTTACAACATCACAACACAGAAAAATTAAAAAGGGTAGAAATGAATAAGTAGAAACTGGAAAGTATGCAGGTCTAGAAGGGTATTTCTCCTTATGGGAGGTAAGTGGGAGTCTAAAAAGTTCATGTATGGGTTCATTTTATCGCTATCATTGAAAAAAAATATGCGAGAGAATTATTTGAAACTGTGATATTTTGGCTGTGTGCAGTGAGGCAGAATGCTTTGCATTACATTGTTTCTATAGATTGCATTAATGCAGTCTAATACTTTTAGTTTCTTAAAATCTTTCATACTAAATTTGTAGAAAAGATCCAAAACCTTCTCTTCTCTCCAATTTAATTAAAATCTGTAAAAAATTGTGAAGTGTTTTTCAGGAACTCTGTGTGCATATCTGCTCCCTATAACAATCTCAACAGCTTTTGGGATTCTGAAAATGGAGTATTTGGACATTTAACTCAAATAGGGTTTCTGTAGTTCTTTTCAAATGACCTCGTAGGCAGAAACTCTTGTGGATCATCAGAAGATATGTTTATGTTTCTACCAATGGGGATTAAACATGTATAAACCCACAAAACACCAGAATATTTTTGATACAAGTTAAAGCTACAAGTTTTGGCATACAATTATGGAATACAAAAAATACTGTAACATACTGTAAAAAGTGTTTTTAGAAATACTATAAGAGATATTTGAAAACTTTCAGAGGAAAATAAATACCTACTATGCACCAGATGACAAAGGACATTTCAAATTTGTGAGGAAAACTAAAAATTGACATACCAAGGAATGCAAAAACACATGTTTCTGAAAAAGAAAGAGATCAAAAATCATTCAAATGAAACTGCTGATTTAATCAATCTGTTTCATGGGTCTTATCCTAGTCTTGTAATAGGTGGTTGCATACATGGGATAAAAATATATCTGTTGCTTCTTTGACTCAGTCTAGTTACTAGGCGCCACGATCCAAGAGGTCTGATTCTGCCACCCTTGTTTTTGTTGAATAACCGTACTCCAGTGAGGGCCACTCTTTCTGGCAGGCAGTCCACAATATGCCCTACAACCTCCACATGCCACTCCAATCCCCTTCCTCTGCCCAATCCACCATTCTGATCTCTGTCTGATCTGTTGCACTGTTTGCTGCTCTTTACTGTGTGCTTCTTGCCTGATTTGCTGCTCTGCTTTCTGCTCCCTGCCCTACCTGCTACTATATAAGGGGTATACATCAGGATCTGGGGGAATGCCTGTTCACCAGAGCGCCCCAAGGGATGACAAGGTCCAATGGTCTAATGGACTCGTCCAAATCCATTTTAGGCTGGACATAAGGAAAAACTTCTTTACTGTCTGAGCCCCCAAGGCCTGGAATAGACTTCCTCCAAGCACCTTCTCCGGACTCTTTTAAGAAACGTTTGGACACTTATCTTGCTGGGATCCTTTGACCCTAGCTGATTTCCTGCCCCTGGGGCAGGGGGCTGGACTCAGTGATATCCTGAGGTCCCTTCCAGTACTAATGTCTCTGAAATCTATACTGCCTGCCCTCTTCCCAGTCTGCTGTGCACCATAGATAGAAACTGCCTGCTCCACTTGTGGCACAAATGCAACAGGTTGACCTCTTCTGCCTTATTCCATGACTATTTTCATAGTTTCATAGTTTCTAGGGACGGAAGGGACCTGAGCAGATCATCTAGTCCGACCCCCTGCCATGGCAGGAGGAGCACTGGGGTCAAATGACCCCAGTAAGGTGGTCATCCAACCTCCTCTTAAAAACCCCCAGGGTGGGAGCCTGCACCACCTCACTTGGAAGCTGGTTCCAGACCCTAGCCGCCCTGACCGTGAAGTAGCGCCTCCTGATGTCCAACTTAAACCTTCCCTCCGCCAGCTTGTGACCATTGTTCCTGGTCACTCCTTGCGGCGCTCGGGGGAACAGGGACTCCCCCAGCACCTGCTGATCCCCCCTAACCAGTTTATAACAGGCCACAAGATCCCCCCTCAGCCTTCTCTTTTGAAGGCTGAACAGGTTCAGGTCCCGCAACCTTTCCTCATAGGACCTACCCTGCTGTCCCCTGATTATACGAGTGGCCCTCCTCTGGACCCTCTCGATGCTGTCCACATCCCTCTTAAAGTGTGGCGCCCAGAACTGGACGCAGTACTCCAGCTTGATTAACTTCAATGGTAAACTAAGCAGCATGAGTCAGGCTGTCAGAACCATACTCCAGATCAGCAGTTCCCAAACTCTGACAGATTGCACACCACAAATTTAAAATGATACAGCCTTAAGTACCACCAGCAAATGTTGTCATATAAAGTAATTATAATAAACCTGTTAATGCGTACCACTGACAGGTTGTCTGTGTACCACTGGTGGTACCTGTACTACAGACTGGGAACCGCTGTTCTAGATGACTGAGAGAAACATCTGCACTGGTACAGCTTGCTTGGGGAAGATGGGCCTAATTCAAAGCACAGCGAAGTTAATTAAATGAATCCCATTGACTTCAATGGACCCTGGTTCAGTCCCTGTAAAAAATTAAAAATCCTACCTAAAACTTTCCAACACCGTGTTATTATTTATTACAAAGTGCTATGACGGTATATTTTAATCTCTTCTGAATTACAACACTTCATAACCTCCTGCACACGAAAATTACTGCATCTTTCCTGCTCTGACACCTGAAAACTATGCTTTAAAGTGTGTAATAGTGCCACCCACTAACAATTATTAAGGCATTCTCATAACAAGATTTTACTTTTGAAGCACACGGTCCAGTTACTATTAAGAGCATTCAGTGTGCTTAAAAAGCTTTACTTTGCTTGCATAAGATTACAGCTGTTTTTGTCCTAACAAGGTGGGCTCTTTGTTTCAAGGGCAGAAACAGACAGTAAATGCTATTTTTTCTATAAGGTATGGATTATCCTCATGCAGGCATCCCTAAAAATAAGGGTGTATTAGTGGTATAGAATCACGTCATTTCCTAAAATTTTGGCCCATAAAAGGAAGAAAAGAAGGCTACAGCCTGCCAGTGGAGTTCTGAGCTATTTCCGTAGATGTTCCTGTATATTTTTGCCAGTTTCCAAGAAAATACTATTTTTTTTCCAAAAAGCTTCTTTAGATCTAAAAACATTCTTTTTTAACATATTCAGTCTCCTGCAACTAAAAATAGGCTGGGGGGAGGGACGAGAGGGGAAGAAGGAGTCAAGGAGATCTATTTGGTTATCAATCTTGTAGCAAGTCTTAGCTGGAGCCTGGAGCATGGGGGAGGGAGAAGATTTACTGCATATTTTATCTGATATGTCAGTAAAGGTGACTTTAGGCTGCCTTGCAGCCTCCATGTTAGTAAGTCTTTTGGTAGAGACAAGTAACTCTGACATATGAATGGTTATAAAAGCCCAAGCACTTCTTTTCCTACCCCACCAAAAATACCAATTCATGCAAACTGAATTTTAATTCATGAGTATTACCTACCACACATAAAAGCAACAGTTCTCAGTGTCTGCTGCATTAGAATCTGTGTAACTGGAGAAAGGTTATGGTGTGTGTAGTGAGACATCACAATACCAGAAAACAGGATTGCCATGATACCTGGAGATGCAAAG